TTATAGGGTAAAGTGCTCAATATCAGAGATAGAGCTTATGTAAATGTAAATATAAAAGTGAACATTGAAGTCAACATTTAGAGGCGATAGGCTGTTTCATGTTGGACGATTGCGTCCAGCATGAAACAGCCTGTCGCCTCTGAGTGTTGACTTCAATGTTCACTTTATATATATATATATATATATATATATATATATATATATATATATATATATATATATAAGTGGAAACATACAAAGTGAGAATGAATTGGGAGAATCATATTTCATCTGTTCCCTTTCTCTTTCTTCCACCTTTTTTCTTTCAGTCACTTTTCTCCTTCTTTATTTCTTGCATCTAAGTTGTTTCATCAACTCTGAAATCCGTGGAGAAGAACGAGAAAGAGAGAGACAAAACGTGGAGTTTAACAGAAGCGTTCGATTCTACAAATAAAACTACTCTTTAGAACATTCAATGAAAAATCGAGAATCGAACAAATGGTTGATAAAAGTAACTCGAAATTTGGAATGTTTACATTCTTCTTAAGCTTCATTTTTTTTTCATCTTCTAATCTTGCTTCTAAATATTCATCTTCTCAAGTCCTTTTCTTGTTCTGTTTCTTTCCATAGTTCTACAGCCATCGGTTCTTAAGCATTAATCTCTTCGATCCGTCTAAAAACGGGAAGCTAATAAAAAGACATAAAGACAGTGTGATGGTGCTTAAAAGAAAAGGTCTTCAAATCATAGTTGGTAGAAACATATTAAACGGAAAAAAGCAGGGAGAGTGAGAGTAGTTTGAAAGCGAAGGACGAAAGAAACGGAAGCAGGATTATATCGAATGATGGGAATAAGCAAAAGATATATTAAGAAAGGGGTGGGGAATTAGACAAATATTGAAAGGAAAATTAAGAAGACGATTCATAGAAAAACAGATTGTAGAAAGAAAAAGAAGATTCGAAGAAGGGTGGAAATATTGAATAAAGAGAGAAGACAAAAGGAAAGGGGTGGATTAAGGAAAACATATAAAAGAGAGAGAAAGAAGAGCAGAACAAAATGTACTAAATATTGAATAAAGTGAGAAGGCAAAAGGGGTGGATTAAGGAAAACAGATTAGAGGAGATTAAGAGAGAAAGAATGAAAATATCTGACCTGTCTCGAGGCTGAGATAATTCCATATTTTCTCCCGAATATCAGTTAACAAACCTAAGAAGTTCAGACTTTTTCTCTGATGTACCATATACCATCCGGATGTGGACGATCATAGCCCTCCACTACTTCTAATCCAATGTAAGTAACGTGTGACACTTTACACTCTTTCTCCTCACACTACCACCCATTTATTAGGTAAATTAAACACTATTTTCTTTTGTCTCCTCCTTTCAATATTTTCTGTGAGTGTTAAATTTTCCAAGCATTCTGTCGTCGTGTATTCTTGAAATTTAAACTAGAAAACTGGCCAACGTATTCCAATACTGATTTTCTAATGAAATAAGTAAGCTACCCATTGCCGTAACACACTATTATGTGTACCTACATAGCCTTGTGTCATACGTAGTTAACTTTAGTAAATAAAAGGAATGAAAGGAAAGCAAACAAAAATGGTCATTAAAGAGAAAGACGGACGAACAAAGAGAGTGAGATAAAGGGAAAGGGAAATAAAGCGGAAGAGAGGGACGAGAAAAAAGAAAGAGAGAGTGTATGATGACTAAGAGAGAAAGCTGTAGGGAATAGTTAGGGGGTAGATTTAAATCAAAAGCGAAAGAAGAGAACATTTATTATTTATTTATTTATTTATCTGCTTATGGTCAGAGGTGAGAACAAAGTAGGCCAGACCGGAAGTCCGACCAACTCACCAACAAGGGCGTCGTTAATGGCGACATGCAGTCCAGGGGTAGGGGTTATTGCTTTCTCTGACACTTGGAACAGAACTGCAGCCACTTTCCCACGCCTCTCTGGGTGCCCTACGTGTCCACTTTCTGTGCCCTCGTCCAGCTGCAGGAGACAGACATGTATGTCTTGCTTTGTAGGCTGCTGTTTAACTCTGCAAACGGCTTTGCTGACAACTGACCACAAGAGCATCTCCTATTTTATAAGCGTATGAACTGACTGGCCTCAGTGTATGGATAGCGTGAGAGGTGTTTTGCTATCGGATACGCCATTCAACCCTTCTGCATTAAGACATTAACCTAACTAACATATTTTATCCAGTGAGAGTATATATAAAATTTTGTACCTACTAAAAATAATAGCGTTTATAGTATTAGGAAATACCCTACACGCAAGACACTAGTGGCCCGCTGGCGGCAGTCATCGGCAGGCCACCATCGGGCCTCTAGCGGTCCGCCAGTGATAACATTGCCGAGGCAAACATGCCGGCGGTCGAACAGCGGGCCACCAGCGTTGGTGGCTTGCGTGTAGGGCGGATTTTACAAAAAACCTCCAACATTTGACCATATATCTGAGATGAGATACTGTAAATATTTTTACATTATTTATATTATTCGGACTATTGTCCGAATCTTTATTGCTATATTCACTACGTTTTGTCCATTGTACGCTCCAGCCTCTAGGTGAAATTTATTGAAATTTCGAATAGAACTCTTTATTTAGTCCACGGGGGTAGATTGTTCTAATTCCACGTGCCATGCCTTCGGATATCTCAGTTTCAGTTAATTCCCCTTCATATCTCAACTCCCCAAGTTTTTGTTCTCCCATCTGTTGCCAGGGATTGAACTCACAACGCTTTGGGCCAAGTCAATTTTTTTTGGCCAATCAACCAATACGTTTATCAACTGAGCCATGTGTCCTGGGAGAGCTGAGTTATCAAGGGAAATTAACTGAAACTGATATATCTAAAGGTATGGCACGTGGAATTATAACAATCTATCCCCATGGACTAAATAAAATAAATTCTCTAAGTATTTTTTCAGAAGGAAATAGCCTGTAACCTATCTAATATAGAGAGAATGCCGGGGGACAGTAAAATGCAAACATTGTAAAGAAGAGGAAGTTATGGTGGTTCATGATCACCCACATCCTGAAGGGACACGACACAGAAGAAAAACAATTTGCATTAGTCGTCAAAATGCTTCAATTTATTTTGGTTTTCCCATTGCCTTATTTTCAATTGGAAGAAAAAATTAAAAGTTGAAATGGGAAAAATCCTTAAAATGTAATTGATATCTGTTATCTTCTCCGGTCATCCTGCGTATGACGATAAACTACATCCGGTAGCAAGGCATGTAATCAGGAGATTGGATGTTTTGAGGAGCTTGGAACCACTTCTTAATGGCTGCTGTTCCCAAGTCCATCCTAGCCAGGGTGGTAGCATCTGTTAGGGTCCAAGCTTTTGGCAAATAGTGAACCCCCAAACAAAAATAAATAAATAAATCAACAGTACATTTTTTTAATAAAATGGGCAACAATACAAATTTATAGCAAAATAACAATGCAACACTAAAACATAAAAATACTATTTTATAGTAAAATTACCTACAATACATTTCATCCTCTACAAAACATATATATATATATATATATATGAAGAAAATATCTGGAAAAACAAAACAAAAATCCTTAAAATGCGATTATGTTGTTTTAATATGAATGAAATGTCGACGTCTGACGTTTCGGTTGAATAACCTTCTTCAGGACAATATTCATTAAAAATACAATTAACATAATCAGTATAACACGACGAAAACGATGGACATAAAAACAAGTCTTATCCAAATGGATAAGACTTGTTTTATGTCCTCCAACATAATCGCATTTTAAGGATTTTTGTTTTGTTTTTCCAGATATTTTCTTCATTCTGTCGGATTTATATCCATTTATATTTGCTTATCATATATATATATATATATATATATATATATATATATATATATATATATATATATAAAAACATACCTTATACTGTAAGTATAAAATTATGTAAAAAATATCTACATATCATATTTAGCTTTTGGCATTAAATAATCTATAGAGGGTGATATACCGCCAAATAAAATCAACCAACCAAACAACGAACATGAAAGAACTCTTTCATAACACTAGTCCATATAATATCCTACAATTTCTTAGATGAAACGTTATTCAAAAATATACCTTCATAAAACACACATATATCGTTTCTAATAATCATGTCCACACAAACATGTATCTGCACAAAAGTTGAGTATCATCTACCATGTATGTTATGAAAGCAGAATAACGTATCTTATGTTTATTACTTTAAAGCTTCCAAGAAAATTTCGGCATTAAGTGACCCATAAAGATATGCCGTTAAACAAACATATCCTCTTCGGTTCTTTGATGTTCCAGCTGGCTGGGAATGGTCATATCTCAGTTCGAAGACAAAACATTTTCATCAGAACATGAGCTGTTCCAATCAATCCATACTCACCCGCTCACTTTCAATTAGGTAAAAATAAAGCGAAGTGTACGTGTGTCCGTCCGTTTTTGGATCTCGGCGAATCATAAAGAACCTAACAGATATTAACTGCTGTAGTTACACGCCATTAAAAATTAAGTAAATAACTCATTTAAATTTGAATATCGAACAGCGTAAAAACTTAAAAAAAAACAATTCATTATTAAAGATTGAACTTTAATTTCGCTTTTCGTCGCAATTGCAATTGATATCGTCTAATAAAACGTAATTAAAATTTAAGTGGGGCACGGTACGTTGCTCATTTTCTTTTTCTAGTAGGCGTACTGTGACATATTGGAAATATTAAATAGTTCAGGTTCCTTAATGTCTTTTAGAGTGACTTTATGTAAAGGGATAATAAAGATTATGCCGAATTAAGTTGTCGAATAAAGAAAAAAATATTTCTTAATTCTTGTAACTTTTACATACATGGGATGCTTAAGGTAAAAATCCGAAGGCCCAAAAGCCCACCGCAGGAGCTAGTTTAAAGGCGGCCCGAAGGGCGGTTTCTAATTAGGATTATTATTATTAATAATAATAATAATAATGTTGCTCATGTTGTTGATGATAATAATAATAATGTTGTTAAGATTGTTGTTGTTGTTGATGATAATAATAATACTGTTGTGTCTCTTGTTGATGGTGATGATAATAATTATTGTCATCATCAACAACAAGAGCAACAAAATTATTATTATTATCATCATCATCAACAACAAGAGCAACAACAGTATCATCATCATCAACAACAACAAGAGCAACAACAGTATTATTATTATCATCATAATCAACAAGATAAACGGCTGTATTATTATTATCAGCAGCAGCAGTAAGAGCAACAACAGTATTATTATTATCATCACCATCAACAAGAGCAAGAAAAGTATTATTATTATCATCATCATCGTCAACAACAACAACAGCAACAACAGTATTATTATCATCAGCAACAACAAGCGCAACAACAATATTATTAATAGGGAACTTTTTATGCCAAAGTGTTTCGTTCCTAGAGGAATTTAATTAAGACAAGGGTAAGTAAGGAAATGTGTTCACATAAAAAGGATTTCCTCTTGTTTTTTGTTTTGTTTTGTTTTTTATCTGAATTTACACACACACACACACACACACACACACACACACACACATATATATATATATATATATATATATATATATATATATATATATATGAGCCAGTTCAGGTTGTATATGCAGTACTAGAGTACTGTTGTCATATTTGAACGGGAGTTGTACAGTCCTTACTTTCCAGTCTTGTTAAAGTCCAAAAGCAACTCCCAGTTCTTGTTATTATTTTCCATTCTCCAACGTCACTCTCACAAGCAAGATGCGGCTAGTCTCTCACTAACCCATCACTACTTCCATAGAAAGTGTTCGGTCAAACTATATTCCTTGTCTCCATCAGGCTAGGACCCACCATGCTACTTACATAATAGCAATCCACCCACAATCATAGTCTAGAGTTAACCATTATCTGCTCCTTAACGTAACCCTCTACCTCGAGTGCCTTCGGGCCTTGTACAGGGTGAAGCTTATTGAAAAAATATTTATATACTGGCACTGCACGGGACAAGTACTTTCCCCTACGCCCCGCCGCTTAACGCAATCTTTTCTTGTAAAACAGAAAAGGTATTTTCTGCTTTGTTTCCAAATTAACTTGACATTATGAAAATAAAATGTTGATAAATATTCTGTAGAGAAATGAATTCCGTTGATCTATCTATCTATCTATATATATATATATATATATACACACACATATATATATATATATATATATATATATATATATATATATATATATATATAACAACAATAGGTAAAACTATAGCTCGTGTGTCACATGCATTATGCGTGACGACTTTGTGCCAACCGCAAGAGTAGAAATATTTTTTGAAATATCCATTTAAAAAAAACATTATTTTTTTCACAATATAAGTAATTTATTCAAAATAGAAACAAAAGTAACAATGACGGAAACCAGATATAGTTAATCTCAGTTATCAACAAAAAATCGGCTTATTTTGTTATGTACAACAACCTTGGTCGCTACGCCCTAGACCAGTTGTTCCCAAATGGTGTGGCGTGCCTCATAGGTGCGCAGCGCCTCATAGGTGCGGAGCGCCTCATAGGTCCGTCGGAAGAGGATGGCAGGTGAGACGGAATGATTGAAAGACAATCAAAGATTTAGAAACAGATTTTAAAAATCCATATGCCCAAAATAAATATGATTTTAAAATACTATTATAGATTACTTGTAATTGCATGCATGAGTCCCAGTATAAATGGTTATAAATAATTATTGACCGATTTTATCATTGTGATATTTTTGCATTATATCAAGTATTAAGAAGATAGTAACTAGGATCCGCAAATTGGAGGAGAGAGTTATCAATAATAATGTTCTAACTTCGAATTCATGCTTATCTTCCTTTAACCATCTTTCTGGGACATCTTTGCTGTAGGAATGCTTGCGCCTTTTCAGTTCTGGATTTTCAGTTCTGACAAATATAAAAAAAACAAAAAATGGGAAAGGCTTCTTTGTGTTGATGAGGAGATATGAGTTTGTTTATCTCAAATTAGGCCTTATGTAAAAGAGATTACTCATCAAATAGAAGCTTATATCCTTCATTAAATTTGTGTACTTTAATCATATAAGTTATTTGTGTTATATGTTACATTTAACGAAATATTAGTCGTTTTTATCTTTAAATGTGCATATCACATAAAATTTCCATTCCAAAAATGCAGCCCAAAGAAAGAAAAATAGACTACCCTAGACTGTGTCGATGTCAATGGTCAATCACCAGGACAGTGTAAATTGACGTAGATGCCTGTGTACGCATACATTTCTGTAGTCTGTTCACAAATATGTCTAACAATTAAATGTACAAATAACATACGTGTATATGATTATTTGTTGTTATAAAACTCATATTGTTGCGATGAGGCCCATTTTACACAAGGCCGACAATAATGCGTCCCTCGATGAAAAAAAAAAAAGAAAGAAAAAACGTTTACCCAGCCTTGATGTAAATAGTTTCTCTACTTCATTTCTCTTCCTTCCCTCCGATCCTTGTTTACACCAGCCTAGTTAAGCGTGTCAGTACTGAGACAATACTAATTAAATACTGGAATCAAAAGGAAAACTCAAGATTTGTAGCCCTTGTTCATTCATGTTCTTACAGTGTATGATAAACTTAACTGAGGCAAGATTCAGATATCCTGGATCTCGTGACATTCGTAGGGACGAGGAGTCGGTGGACACGAAAGCAGACAGCATAGCCTCCTTCGTAGTATGAAAAACAAGTGGAACCAAGTGTCTCGTAGTACTCCGCCCGATTCAGGGCAATGTCCTTCGAAACTACACACTTTGAAATTTTCATATTCTTCCTATTCTTCTTTTATTATTTTAATCTTGTTTCTAAACATTCATCTTCCCAGTTCTTTCTTCGTTCTGCTTTCAAAATTTTTGCTGTTCTTGGTTCTAAATAATAATTCTTCTTTTGGAACAGTCCAAAGACGGGAAGCTAATGAAAAAAACTCTGGGTTTGTTTGCTTAGCGGAATATCAACTCCTTGTGGGTTATTTAATACCGAAATTTAATTTTCGTGGGAGCATTAGTAATTTAATTTACAAAAATGTATTGCTGGTAATTTTTTCTTCAAAAATGTATTGCTGGTATTTTTAATATAAAAATCTATTTTGATACCTTCATAGTGTCTTGACTACAGTTTAGGGGTTAACTATTTTCCTGTAGTTGGGACCCTAACAGGTGCAAATGAAAAAGACAATGTGATGGTGCATAAGAGAAAAGGTCTTCAAGCCACAGATAGCAGAAGCATATTAAACGGAAAAAAAGCAGGGAGAGTGAGAGTTGTTTGAAAGCGAAAGACGGATGATTGGACGAAAGAGACGGAAGTACGATTATATCGAGTGATAAGCAAAAGATATATGAAGAAAGTGGGGGGAGGGTATTAGAGAAATATGAAAAGGAAAATTGAGAAGAGAATTAGAAAAACAGATTGTAGAAAGAAAGAGAAAGAAGAGTCGAAGGAAGGTAGAAATATTGAATAAAGAGTGAATGGGGATAATAAAAAAACAGTTTAGAGGAGGGTGAGTAGAACAAGAGGATATAAAAAAAGGAAAATAAATTGAATGTAGGGAAAGAGTAGATACGTGAAAGGAATAGAGAAGGCTAGATTGAATGGATGAAAAGAGGAAAAGAATAGAAATAGGGAAAGAGTGGAATAGTGTGAGAGGAGAAAAAGAAGTGAAGAGGAAAAGGAAAAACAAATTGAATAGAGAGAGAGTAAGAAAGGGAAGAGCAAGATGGGGAAAAGAAATTGAAGAGTAGGGCAAGGAAAATGGAAAGTAAGAAGGAATGTTGAATAGAGAGAGTGAGACTAGGGGAAAAACAAGAGGAAGAGAGGAATAGGAAAATGTGTTTGAAAAGCGAAGGAAAGGAAAAAGAAGAAGAAGAAGAAGAAAGAAAGAAAGAAAGAAAGAAAGAAAGAAAGAAAGAAAGAAAGAAAGAAAGAAAGACATAGGAAGAGAAAATGGAATAAAGCGAATGCGAGAGTGAGAGGGAAAATAGCAAGAGACCAGGAACGTTGAAACAGACTGAATAGAAGGGAAGGAAGAGGAAAAGGAAGAAAAAGGAAACAGGTTGAATAGAAAGACAGCATGAGGGAGGAAATATAAGAGAAGAGATGGGGAAGAAATTAAATAGGAGAGTAAGGGGAAGAGTAAGAGGAGAAGAATGGGGAAACGGGTTAATAGAACGAGAGTAAGAGGGGTAAGAGTAAGAAAAGAGATCGGGAAAACAAATTAAATAGGAGAGTAAGAGGGAGAATAGTAAGAAGTGAAAAATATGGAAACATTAAATACAAAGAAAGAGAGGGGAAGTTAGAGAAGTGTTGGGGTAAACAAATTAAATAGAGTACGAGAAGAATGGTGAAAGCAAATTTAGAAAGTGGGTAAGAGGGGGAAAGATTAAGAGAATAGATAGCGAAAACAGATTGAATAGTAGAGACGAAAAAAACAGCGCCTTGAAGAATATAGCAAACAAGTATTGATTGAAAAACCAGAAATCGGGAAATACAAAAGAAAGAGTGAGAGGAAAGGGGGGAGACTTTAAGAAAGAAAGAAAAAGAAGACAAAAGAAGGAAAAAAAGGAAGTAACTCCCAAATAAATAAAATAATAAAGAGAAAAATATTTGAGCAAGTTACGGGTGAGGCTATCAAAAGAACTTTAAAAGCGAAAAGAATATATTTATTCGTCTTGAGTTGAATGAAAGATAAAGTTTATTTTTAAAATAGCTCGGAAATGTAGAAAATTAATGTCAGTGTGCGCCTGTAGCTCTACTGAAATTACATTTGCTAAGTTTAAACTTTGAATGCGTGTCATTCTGCCAGAAAAGAATGGAATCAAATTGAAACCAAAACCGCTGTTGGCACAATTTGTGAAGAATTCATCATGAACTGGGTTGCTCCCGATGTCGAATTCAAGCGGAATAATGTTGATCTTTATTCTCTGTCGTTATTGAAGACACCTTTGCTGGTGGACGATTTGTCTCACGTTTTACCCACACACGAACGCAGATACACACTTGCGGCCGTAAGCTGGGATGTTGAAACATGTGTCCTTCCGGGTAATAAACTCTCCCTTCACTGTCATTTTGTGGGAAATGTTTTCCTCAAATGACTTCGCAAGTTTGAATCTAACGTTTATTAACAGATACTACTTTAATGAATGAAAGTTTAAAACAGTTTAAAAGAAATATGTAGACGTAGGTACCTCCACGAGATCGCTAAAAAAAAGAGCATAGCATGATGAAAAAGACGCCAAACTTGACGAAGACAAGATTTTATCGTCTAAATGTTTATGTTATTATTAAAAAGAAAGATAAAAGTATTGTGGGGTATTTTTTTACATTTTTAAATCGTTCCTAGCACTTTCGAAATTTTCGTTAAAAATTTTGTTTTTGAGTCAGCAAAATTGACAGATAAACGAACATAGCAACCATTTTTTTTCCATTTTATAAAAAAAATGAAAATCTCAGTTTGAAATTCTTTTAAAAATCAATTATCATTTTTTCAAAACTTATTTTAAGAAAATCAGAAATAATAATGTTTATATAAAATATTTTGAACCAAGGTTAACTTAGTTTCTGCGCCGAAAAGATCTGATTTGAAAATAAAATAAAGCCGGTCATAAACTTTCGCGTCACTTGACAGGTGATGAATGACATATTGACGGATTACGTGAGGATAATTTGTTCTATGGTAGGGTTAGATTTAAGTGAACAAATTATTTACCTCGTTATTTTTAAGGAAAACTTTCAGCGCTCTATTTTTTTTTTCTTTGTTTACGATGCTTTATGGAAAATATATTATCAAGAAATTAAAATAAGACTGTTAAGAGTGAGATTGAATTTCATAAGAAAGGTACCTAATTAATTAGATACCTTTCTTATGAAATTTTATCAGAAGTGTACATAAAATGCTATAATTTTATGTACATTTACTACAATATACTGTGTTATTTGTATTTCTATATCGATTGAGATCCTGTGAAATTATGTGTATAAAATAAAGGTTGGATGATTGATCGATTGCTTTTATTTAGCATCATGTCAGCATCGGTGGACAATTTAATGCTGATATCTAAATATTTTGTATGTAATTTTATGCCTTATATTTATTTTGTAAATAAGTTTATGCTTTCAGTGTAAGCGTATGTTTTATAGATATATCGTTTGTAGATGATCTATTGTAAGTGTTATATGTTTTGGTATAAACTTATTTCTTAGTAGGTAGGATATTTTGTTGATTGTTTTGGTATTTTCAAATAATTTTCTTATTTGTTCGTTATAGTATTTGTGTCTAACGAGGAGACACAATCGGAGAGGTCTTATCCCTCTGCTGAGATACAGTCAGCGTATTCTACAGCCTTAGCCGAGAAGGTGGAGTATTAGCCTTTCTTTATGCATGAATATTTTGTTTCCTGTTTTAATCCCAACGTTATTGTTGTCAAATTTTACCAAATTCTCTTCGAAGATTCACACAGATTCCTTTTTTTTCTTTGCGTCCTGGGTATGACGATAAACTAAATCCGCATCCTGGGTATGACGATAAACTACATCTGCGTCCTGTGTAAGTCGATAAACTACGTCCAACAGCAAGGCATCTGATCAGGAGGCTTTGAGAAGCGTGGAACCACATCTTAATTGCTGGTGTTCCCAGGTCCATCCTGACCCGAGGTGGTAACACCTGTTAAGGTCCCAGCTATGGGCAAATAGTTAACCCTGAAACTGAGGTAAAAAGCATGTTGAAAGTGTAAAAATAGGTTTTAATACCAGAAATATTTGTAATAAATTATTACCAGAAATAAATTTTTGAAGAAAAAACTATTACCAGCAATACGTTTTTAAAAAATATATATATTACCAGCAGCAACACGTTTTTGAAAAAAAAAATATTACCAGCAATACGTTTTTAAAAATAATATTACCAGCAATACGTTTTTAAAAATAATATTACCAGCTATACAATTTTGAGGAAAAAAATATTACCAGAAATAGATTTTTAACAAAACAAAAATATTACCCGGAAAAAAAAGTTGTCGGCATTAAGTGACCCATTGCGGTTGATATGCCTTAAAACAAACCAAACCAAACCTTTTGTTCTTTTTTATCTTTATTCTATTTTTTATACTGTTAGTTCACCAAATTCAACGCCCAAGTGCAACTCACAGTAGAGAGTTACTGAGTGAGATTATTGTAAAGGAAGTGGAAGGAAGGAGTAAGAAGTGTATATTACGATGATGTTTCGGATAGATCCAGGTTGAAATTGGACTTGAAGAAACCAAAATTGTAGTTGGCAGGGAAGTATCCTTTCGGGCGCTTGGTCCACTGTTCTGGGGAAGTAGCTGTATGAGTGGTACTTACTCTTTATCAAGGCGTTGGAGACGGGGAGATTCTTTGAGGGTACGACCCCTCATCAGGATTGTTGCAGGTCTGCTCGGTGGTGATGAAATGTTACTAGTTTTGTGTGGAATGTATTAAATAATACCCGCCAGTCTCTTCTTCATCAAGCTGTGTGAATTAGCTGAGGAGATATCAGTTTCCAGGCACTAATCATCTAGATATTTGAAAGGGCACCCATACACCGTGGTGTTAACTGCATATATATTCACTAAGGATCTGTGACTGTCCTTAGGCAGGTCGTTAATATAAAGCTGAAAGAGTGTAGAACCGAGGAAAGGCCAGCATTGATCTC